CTGTTTGAGTTTTTAAATATTCAAATACTATGGTGATATAGACAGTGATGTAAATGTCTTATTTAGATTGTACTGCCACAAGGATATACCAATTAGATATAATTGGATCTAACTGCATTCTCCCTAGAGTTTTTGGAAAGTTTTTAATTTTCCATGTTTACAGTCCTAACTTTAGTTTGCTGCAAATCCTGGACCACTCCCTGGCTCGCCCAAAAAAGGATATAAAATGTCCTGCTGTAAGAATGGTTGGTCTTTTGGAGGATGTTTCTGGAGCTCAAAACCTAGAGAAACACTTAAATAACCACAAAGTCCTCAAGAGTCTACTGGTTATCATTGTTCTCCCGCCTCCATCTCACCCCCCCGCAACTGAACTAGAAATTCTGTGCTTGGGAGTCAGAACATTTTAAATACACTCATCTATCCATTTACCTAAGGAACAAACTGGTAAGTACAAACTGGAAGAAAATAATGACAGCACCTGACTTACTGTATAAATTTCACTAATATCTCCTCAGTTTGTCCTGCAGATTATTGCAAAAATAGAATTTCTTGAAGTTGTAAAGCGAGACAGCAATTAAGGAAGAAAACTGGTCTCAAATCAAGGAAAGGAAACTATTCCTCAGAGGTATATAGATGAAATAATATTCCATCTTCTTTTCTTGTAAATGTCGGTGTGTTTTTAAATTATGGGTAAGATATCAATCTATAATTATGTCTGATTTGTTCCTTAAAAAAAAAATGTGTGTTCCCCTGTAAAATATTCACTTAAAATTTACATGTAAATTTTATTGTGCTATAAATGACAATATTGATTCCTTTTTTAAATGCTTTTCCAGGGATCTATTTGTGTTGCTACATAAACGTCTGGTTCATTTGCTTCTCGCTCTGTAAACTGTTGCATGCTGTATGCTCACACGTAGTAGAAGCATTCCTCTGATGATGGACATTCAGCTCACCTCCAACCACTTTTTTTTGCCACAAAGAATGCAATGATGAGTATCCTTATGCTATTCCCCTTATAGTCCTGGGCAAGAACTTACTTAGGACATATTCTCATGACTGGAATCCCTGGGACCTACAGAACTTTGATACAGCCAGAGAGTTTTCCAGCATACCAGTGTACACTCCCACCAGATTCTACCTCCCCACATGCTTGCCAACGTTTGGTATCATCTACTACTTTTTCTAGTAAAAATGAGTATCTCATGAACACTTAATGAGCATTTTTTCAGATTTTCTAAGTGTGAGAATTTCTCCATATATTTGTCAGCCACTTAGAAAAACTCTTCTGTGAATCGCTGATTTCTATCTTTTGACTAACTTTATAAGTTTTTCTTCTCCACTATAAGTTCATATGAGATTTTATAGTCTTTTATTAATTTTTCTTTACATGCAAATTGTTAATCCATCTGATTTCCACCTTTATGTATGGTGATCTAAAAATCTAATTTTATATTTTTTCATATATCGATAAGAGCATTTTCCTAACATGTTCTACTAAGCTGTTATTTCCCCATTGTTTTGGGGTAAGTTTTGTGACTTGTTATTCCCATACAAGCATGTGTCTGTATCCGAGATCTCTTTTCTTTTCCACCAGACTATTTAAATGTCCCTTTATCATTACCGTAATATTTTTATTTCTGTGGCTCACAGTGTGTTTCAAATATGAATGGTGCCCTTATTTTTCTTTCATGAATTTAATTGTTTAAGTTGTGTACTTTTATTCTTCCATATAAATTTTAGAATGAGTACTCATATTACTCAAAACAAAAGTAAAAGTTTGAATGTTTTTAATTGAATATATAAATTAATTTGAGGGAAAATAGCAGCCTTATAGTTTTATACCATTTATTAATATGCTTTACCCTTCCAATTACTCAGTCTATTAGGCTATCTATTATAATTTTAAATGATTTCTGTAAATATTTTGTGCATGCTTTAAGATAAAACACAGGTGCTTCATATTTTTATTTTTATTATGTTAATTTCCATTATGTTTGTTAATCATTTACTGCTAATATAAAGAGAACTATTGATTTTTCCATTGATCTTACACCCAGACTCTTACTAATTTTTTCTCATTAGGTTTTATAAATTTTTCAGTTTCCTTTTATTGCTACTTCTGCCATTTTTTATCTTGTAATTTTGAAAAGAATTACCAACTCTATGTTAAATAGTAGCTGTAAGAATGGGCATCCTTATTATAGATATTAATTAAAATATATAAACTGTCTTATTACTAAACTGGAGAACCAGTGCACAAAATTAGTGCATGGCAGGGGTGGGGAAGGGTCCCTCAGCCAGCCTGCACCCTCTCCAATTCAGAACCTCTGCCGGCCTGATCACCCTAACTGCTCTCCCCTGCTGGTCTGATCTCTCCTAACCACCTCTACCTCAGCCTCCACCACTGTGGCTTTGTCTGGAAGGATGTCCAGTCTAATTAGCATATTACCCCTTTTATTAGTATAGATAGTAATTTGCTACTGGTTTTGGTTTCCTTTTAAGATTAGGAAGTTAACTTTTGTTTCAGAACTTCAAATAGTTTATATGAAAATTAAGAATTAATCTTCATCAAATTTATTTCTTACATCTCATAAAATAATTGCTTTTTATTTTTTTCAGTCTACTCATGATATGATTTACTGGTGATGTTTAGCAAATATTTAAGAAAGACTAATAAGAAAAATCCATATGCATACAATAATAGTTCTTCCTTCGTGGATTGTTGTGCATAAAATCACTTAGAAATATATATGGTGTAGACTAATCAATACATTACTATTTTATTTTATAATAAAATTATTAAAATGTAGATTATCAATATTACTCCATACTTACTGCATTGGTGTTCAAACTATGCCCCTTGGAAACCAAATTGAGGGAGGAAGAGTGAATAAGTTACTAAAAGATCATGCTTTTAGTGTAAAAGATCATGCTTTTAGTGTAATTTTTTAGTGCAAAGCAGTGTAATTTGATCAGAAAAATTCTCCTTTTAGTTTGTTTCCTATATGCATTGGAAATGCATTTCACTCACTTAATTAAATGTATACATTTTTAATATAAGTACTGTTATTACAGTTGATCCCTAAGTTATAGGGATCGTGGTGTTCTGCACTTTCCAACCAGAAATGTCTTAATAGTCTCCAAAAACTTGAACTGGAAAACCTAAAAGTTAGAGTGCTCAGATTTCAGGCATCAGGTGCTATTAGCAGGATTTCTATCCCAAGAAAACTCCAATTCTGAGCTCTCAACAGTCTGGACAAACTGCCCTTCACTATCTCCAAAGTTTCTTATTCGTCGCTGTCCCATTTTCCTCTGCTTCAAACCAAGGTAACAAATGAAACCTTCCTCGCTACAAGGGAACAGCAAATCTCAATAGAAATAATTTCCCGCCAGAAGTCACATCTAAATACTGCAAGACTGAGGACTAGAGGGCTGACTATGTACATGTGCAATAACAGGCTCATGTTCTAGGTAGGTGCCCAGGCATCCTCCACCATCCCACAATCCTCTGGTTGCACACTTCAGGTTTTCCTAGCTCCTCCATAAGTAATGTTTCCTTCAGGAGTGTTGCAACTTCCAGGGCCTCTAGTTGGAGAGGATATTTCTGTTCTTTGACTTTGATAGCTGTTTTCTATCTGGAATCAGTGAAGTTTCAGGAGTACTGAGGCGCACTCATGAAACAACCACCCATTCAGTCCATGGTTGGCACCATCCCAATTCACAATGAGAAAAGTAATGTGCTGAGCTATTTTCCAATTGGATCTTCCTCTTCCTTCCCCAGCACACACCCCAACCCTTCATACCCTTAAGATCTTCCCCCCTATTTCTTTGACTTTCCCCAATCAAATTCATACTCTATCAGTTGCCTAGGGGTCCCCCTAACTGCTTCCTGGGTGGCAGGGCCAGCCTAGGAGAGGAGCCATGGTGTTCTGGTCTCTGGTCATTCCACTGTTTCAGTTGCTGGTCTTTTATTCTATAGGATGTCCTTTCAACAAGGCAACTGTCCTCAATGAAATTTTATGCATATTTGTAATCACGCCTGATACCACCAGAACAAACATACTGATCTCTAGAAAGACTTAACCACACAGCACTGCATTATGATTTTGATGGTCCCATGACACGTTGCCTTTATGGGCCCTTTATTCCATGCAATAATTGTACACTTTATATTTGCATTGGCATGAAGACAAATATACTAATACTATGTATTAAAACTTAAATATTCATTGCTTTATTCAGATTTTAAAAGAAATAAAAACATTGTCATAGTATCCTAACAGTATGGTAGGCCTACCATGCCTGGCAGATAAATCAGCCTTATAGCCTTGGGTCAAGCATTCAAATACACATAGGATTCTGTCAGATAATATCAATTACTGAAATCAACTAAGAATAATATGTTAATTGGCAACTAATATTCATCTCCAGTGACAAACATAAGAGAGAAGGTAAGTGTTCTTGTAGAATGGGAAACATGCTTCAAATCTAATGCATCAGCTATAACTGAGCATGATGATGAAAATGAGTTCAATGATCTCATTATTATAATTTATTTTATGATGAGCTAAAAACAGATTTTTTACACCATATCCCCTGCTTTTACAATGCTGACTTCTAATTTAAATTTAAAGCATAGCGTGGAAATCCCGGTCAAACAAGGCACATCTGTCTGCTGAAAACCATGGGCTGCTGATTAGCAGTCAATATATTAAGGGGCAGAGCCAGTGGAAATGACAAGAAACTGGTTTGGGACCCAAACTTCCCATAATCAAATGTGTTCTCTTTTAACCCTGAGAAAATCAGATTAGGATTCCTACCCTCATGGTGTGGGTCTGCAGTAAGAAATTTGTCCCCAGGATATACTATTGCATCCAAATATAGAACTACACACAGTAACAGAATATATTTCTTAAAGGAGAACTCTTACCTACACTGTTGTAACAAATTTCTGTTCTATCATCCAGAGAGTCTGTTGGAGAAATGTTATATGTAATATGGAAAGGACCAATGACTCCATATTGACAGAGTTTGTCCTGGTTGGACTTTCTGCACACCCAAAGCTCCAGACAGTTTTCTTTGTGCTAGTTTTATGGATGTACCTGATGATGCTGCTGGGAAATGGAGTTCTCATCTCAGTAATCATCTATGATTCTCACTTGCACACCCCCATGTATTTCTTCCTCTGTAATCTTTCCTTTCTGGACATTTGCTACACAAGTTCATCTATCCCACTAAGTCTTGACAGCTTTCTGACAGAAAGGAAACGTGTCTCCTTCTCTGGGTGCATGGTGCAAATGTTTCTCTCCTTTGCCATGGGGGTCACGGAGTGTGTGCTTCTTGGCATGATGGCACTTGACCGCTACGTGGCCATCTGCTACCCACTGAGATACCCTGTCATCATGAGCAAAGGTGCCTACATACTCATGGCAGCTGGGTCCTGGATCTCTGGGCTCGTGGATTCAATGGTGCAGACATCTCTCGCAATGCAATTACCATTCTGTGCTAACAATGTCATTAACCATCTTGTCTGTGAAATTCTGGCTATCCTGAAACTGGCCTGTGCTGATATTTCAATCAATGTGATCAGCATGGCAGGATCAAATGTGATTGCTCTGGTTATTCCATTGCTAGTAATTTCCCTTTCTTACATGTTTATTGCTGCTACTATTCTGAGGATCCCTTCGACTGAAGGAAAACGTAAGGCCTTCTCCACCTGTTCAGCCCACCTGACAGTGGTGATTATATTCTATGGAACCATTTTCTTCATGTATTCAAAGCCCAAGTCTAAAACGTCTGTTGGTACAGACAATCAAGACATCACTGAGATCTTCATCACCCTCTTCTATGGAGCGATGATTCCCATGCTCAATCCTATCATCTACAGTCTTCGGAACAAAGATGTAAAGGCTGCTGTGAAGAACATGCTGGGAAGGAAAAACGTCTCTGATGGACTATAAATGAATACTGATTTACACCATGTGACTCGCCATTCAAAGCTGTGGCAGACACAAAATGCAAAGGGAGAAAATTACCATGTGAAAACAAATTTACTGTCTCATTCAAAACCATACTATGAAAATATGTGGGGCCCTAACTGCGTAGCTTAGTTGGTTAGAACATTGTCCAAATATACCAAGATTGTGGGTTTGATCTCCAGTCCAGAAACATACAAGAATCAATGAATGCACAAATAAGTAAAGCAACGAAGTTTCCTCTCTCTCTCTCTCTCTCTCTCTCTCTCTCTCTCTCTCTCTCTCTCTCTCTCTCATAAAACTTTTAAAAAGCAGATCATTAAAAAATAATAAAATATTTTGATTTGGTTGCTGTGCTTACTATCAGTTTTTGTTCTAACTGCAGAAATAAAACATAATTGTGGTTATAAAAATATTATGGACCGACTGTAAACTGCTTGTTATTATGAATGCCTTTGTTCTTTGCTTGTGTTTTTCAGTTTCTTATATATGCACATGCTAACTTTAAAAAACGTTACTTAAAAAATACTATTATGGGAATGCAAAATGTTGAAAATCTCTTAGAAAGCCCCAGCAAAACATAATTATTCTTAAGCCTTCAGAAAACAATAAAGGCAAAAAGTGTTCTAAAAAGGAGTTTATAACCTAAAGTAAGTACATTATTAATTATTCAAGTGATCATTAATCAGCACACGATATATATTAATTTTTAATTTGTTCATTTACTATTTTTGTCTACCACATATAAGGTTTTTGAGAATAGAAACGTGTCTGTTTATTAACCTATAACATTGCAAAGGCCTAGAATAGAACATGACATATAATAGCTCAATAAATGTTTTTCAATAACTAAATGAATCACATCATCTATAAAACTAGAAATGTATTTATGTCATATCTGAGGTAACAACAGTTATTCATGAAGAAATATGATCAACTAGGCTGTAATGAAGACTTCTTTCCCACTCTGCATTGAATCAAACATCTCCTACAAAGAAGGAGAACTAGAACTAGATAGAACTGGTAACTGACAGAAGCTGCAAGAAGAGGATTAGAAGTGGCTATAGAGAGTGAAGTCATTCAGTGAACTGAGCAGCTACAGGGTTTGGGGAGCATAAGACAAAGATAACTTAAAATTGAGATGGTCATTATTGCTGAGGTGTAGTCCTGGGGGGGAGAGGGGAGCAATGCTATTGGAGGAACTGAGTCAAAACTCATTCTTTGAGGAATCTATGGGAGTTTACATTTAGAACACAAATCTGAAGCAAAAGTCTTTAATTCTAAATTGTAAAAGTAAGTCCATAATATCTTCCTTTCTTGTTAGAAGGTAATTATTGTTTCTTTATAAGATTAAATAAGTTCATTCACGCATAGCACTAAAAAGTGCCTGAAACATACTAAATTCCAATAAACATTGACTGTTTTATTATTATTAGTGGTGGATGTATTTTAATGGGTCATAAAGCTTTGAGTATGCAATAAGATTTTCATCCTTACTTCCTCATGGAGTAATTTCGATGCTATTAAACTGTTGTCTCTGAGCTTCAAATCCATTTTTCTATTCCCGCTTTGAGTTGGGATTGGCACAGTGAAAACCACATTTCTCCCTCATTAGCTAGCTTCTATTAAATTCTTCCAAAAGAGTTGCTAGAGAGAGAATGGAAGGTAAGTTGGGTGAAGATAAGGGACCTCCCTATGTGCTTCTTGTTCCTATAGCATCTGGCCAGCTGTGGTTCTTCACCATGGCAATGTCAATTCCGAGCTGCTTCCACCATTGGTTTCAGTTTTCATTTCTTCTTTTCTATAAACCCAGAAGTTACCAGTGCCACCTCCTCAGACGTTTGATTATGTTTCTCAGCTTTTACTTCTGATTAATGAATAGCCTGTCAAGTCTGTAGCCTTGAAGATCTAAAGAGAAATAAAACACACAATTCTCTGCTTGAAAAATTTAATGAATGAGATAAGAGTGTAAGTAATAGATACGGTTGGGCTATCATTTTTACGCACAACTAAATAACAGAAGTTAGTGTGCATGATATTTGTATTTCTTTTTCAGTTTCTTTCTTGTGTCTAAAATGTAGATTATGAAAGCCTCACTAGTATACTTTAAAATAACATAATAATTATCATCATATGAAGAAAACACTGAATAGTTATAGGAGACTCAGAAATACATGTGAGAAGAAACAAACTTGAGGAAAATATGTCTTTTCTTTCCTAATGCATACCTAGCACCTACCTAAGTTCCATTCCTAGCATGTAGTATGTTATTTCTATAAATATGTTAAATTGATGCCTAAGGCCCTAACCAGTTTGGCTCAGTGGATAGAGCGTCGGCCTACAGACTGAAAGGTCCCAGGTTTGATTCCGGTCAAGGGCATGTACCTTGGTTGCAGGCACATCCCCAGTGGAGGATGTTCGGGGGGCAGCTGATCGATGTTTCTCTCTCATTGATGTTTCTAACTCTCTATCCCTCTCTCTTCCTCTCTGTAAAAAATCAATAAAATATATTTTTAAAAATATTTAAAAATTGATGCCTAAGTAAATAAGTGGATTAAAATAGTTTATCAAGATCATATTATTAGATACTCATGATAAACTGTTTAAGTAGCTAATATTTACCCAACATTAGATAAAAGAAAACCTAATTCCAAAAATATAGAAATATCTGAAGTCACAAACAGGATTTAAAAAGTCTTTGATTTGAACAAAACAACTGACAACTTTAACAATCCAACTAGTATGAAATACAAATTCTTCTAAAGCACATATAAAATATGCACAAAAACTGGTTAGGCAGAAAATAAGAATAACAAATTTTATATATATATATATATATATATATATATATATATATAGAGAGAGAGAGAGAGAGAGAGAGAGAGAGAGAGAGAGAGAGAAACATCTACCAGTTCCCTCCCACACACTTCCCAACCGGGGTATCAAATCTACCACTTTTGGTATATTGGACATTGCTCCAACCAACTGATCCACACAGCTCAGGGCAATAATATAGAAATCATATTAAATATTACATATTCTTCCAATTAAATTGAAAGTTATTAATTAAAAAACTCCATAACCTAAGATAACACTTCTAAATGATTGAGTAGTCATTATATTAAAAAATATTTAACAACTTCTATGACGAGTACTCCAATAAATCAGAATGAATGCCTGTCATAATAATGTACGCCAGCTCAATTTCAGCTTTGCTTTATAGATCAGAGAAAAAAAGTTACAAAGAAAAATATTAAAATCTCATGCAACCAGACCTGAGCTTGTACCCACTAGTACCACAATACTGGTTATTTACAGATAGTAGTAATATGATTAATAGATAGCTGTGACACAGTCTTTGTAAAAGGTATTTCCAAATATCAACCCTGCTAGAACATGAAAGATAATTGTATATAATATATTAAAATTTAATAGATATTAAAAATAAGTTTTTTAGGGAATTTTTCATTTTTAGTTTTTTATAGGAAACAGCTTCTTAATGAAGAGAGAATGAGTGAAACAAAAGGAAAAGGAAGAGAAAGGTAAGAAACTATAAAATTAGAAGGCAAAGCCAATACACAAGGCATTGTTGTTATATATTTATATCTTATTTTTATTAAATCATTACAAAAATGTTGAAAAGTAGATCTCCTTGCTCTTAATTTATAGGTGAAAAGACAAAGACTCATAGAAGTTAAGATTATGCAGGTTCTAAGTGGTAAAGCTAGTTTTCAAAGCATGGTCTTGACTATCGAGACACTATTTCCTCTACTGCCTCCTAGTAAGAAGGAAAATACCTGAAGTCCAGCTACACCTGAATCAGGAAAATTTAAGATAGGAAAAGGCAGGAAAGTTAGTATAGCCTAACTGAATTTAACCTCAGAATTTCTCCAAAGCTGTTAACTGGATATATAGGTGAATTCAGGAGACTATGACTAAAATCTTACCACCACATCTATTTTACTAATCTATAGTCTCTGCAAGTAATTTAACTTCTCTGAGCCTCAGATTTCCTATTTATAGTGAGGATTAAATACCCTGTTTCCCCGAAAATAGGATGTCTTATTTTTCCATGCGCTAGGTCTTATTTTCGGAGGATGTCTTATTTTCGGGGAAACACGGTATGCCAGCTCATTCATCTAGTTGTGCCAGCACTTCTCTCACCCTAAAAAAAAAGGTCTTAAGCCGAGACCGGTTTGGCTCAATGGATAGAGCGTCGGCTTGGGGACTTAAGGGTCCCCGGTTCGATTCCGGTCAAGGGCATGTACCTCGGTTGCGGGCATATCCCCAGTAGGGAGTGTGCAAGAGGCAGCTGATCGGTGACTCTCTCTCATCGATGTTTCTAACTCTCTATCTCTCTCCCTTCCTCCCTGTACAAAATCAATAAAAATATATTTTTTTAAAAAAGAAAAGGTCTTAATTTGAAGAACCAAAGAGCCAGGGAAAGAGGGAGAGTTCAACTACAACCATGGTTGCTCTCCTGATAGTGCAACTACATCCACCAGGAAGATGTAGTCTAGCCATCATATGAAATGAAAATTTAAACACTAATGATGGAAATTTAATTTGATGCTGTAGATGGTATGATTTTTATGCAAATGTTATAGGTAATACCTTTTCAGAATATGAGAAAGGTAGAGCAAGTTTTACTAACTATATTCTATATATATAAATTTTTTTTACAGAGAGGAAGGGAGAGAAATAGAGTTAGAAATATCGATGAGAGAGAAACATTGATCAGCTGCCTCCTGCACATGCCCTACTGGGGATGTGCCCATAACCAAGGTACATGCCCTTGACTGGAATCAAATCTGGGACCCTTCAGTCTGCAGGCTGATGCTCTATCCACTGAGCCAAACCTGTTAGGGCTGTACTCTCTGTTTTAAGGAAGAAAGGAGGACCATTAAAAGGAGAAGCAAGTTGCAAGAGATAGAAAAAGAAGTATGGAATGGAGAATCACCAATATCACAAAAGGGAGAGCCTCA